ATTTATTATTCACATAACACTTTAATATGCCAATAATAAAACACTAAGTTGAACAAACACAAACCACTCCTTCCTTTTAGTTAGCACTTTCTTACATAATTCATAGTTTTTAGTGCAAGAACACCAAACCTTCTACAGGGTGCCATACACTTCAAATGAAAATTTACAATATATATTATAACTCATTAAATTTTATCTTTTGACATACTGTAATATGAAGTGATCAGAAAAGGTCTGCATCAAACTAACTGCAGTTAACAAAACAGGAGAATCTAGAAGACACATTGTAGCTATATATCATGCTCTGAGAAAAAGACCTTTGTCAACCTGATTGAATTACATGCGAGAAATTTTTTTTTGTTATAGAAAAATAATGAGACCAGCACAAGTAAGATAGACCGTGTTTGTTGAGGAGATTAAGACAGAATCTGTTGTAATACACCAACAAATTTCTCTCTTGTGAAGAAATTTAACCAAAGGATACTTCTCTTTGAGTTTTCCTAATCTAAATGTATTTGAGGCTTGTCAAATATGCAATTACATGATCAGAAACCAAGAAGCGAAACTTTGGTTGAATTAAGAAGGAAGGCACCATAAATCATAAGTGAACGTAGTCAAAAACTTGACAAACTTTAAAGATATTCCACAGAAAAATAATACATAGCTTTTTGGGGATTAGATACATTTGGGGTACAATGAATAACGCTTTAACATGATTCAAAGTATCTTTTTTTCTGTTACGTACAATAAATTTTGCTGGCTTGGAGATAAAAATTACTCTGAAAAAGAACTTCAGCGTAAGATGATATTTAAAGCTCACTTCAAAAATCAAAGCTACTCAATAACAAACCGACGATATGTGACAGCATATCTAGATATCATGCTCTTTTGACTTCCTTAGATTCATAATAACCATCAGAAGCTAAGTCAGAAAGCCAAGAAACGGCAGCGTTCATGAAGGAGGCAAAACAAACATATATGATCGAGCTTTTCATATAGGAGTTCCGTGAGGTCAGAAATGTGTTTATGCTAGACCTGTTATTTAACTATAAACTAACTACTATTAAAACCAGCACACAATCATTGGTACGCTTAACATCAGGACTGTTCAGAAATACCGATAATTATGACATGATGTGCGCAGAATGAATTATCGGTTCGAATTGAGCAGGATGATAAACGGAAGAGAAAAACTACATTGCGAGGATTATAGCGAGTTAACGGTCATCAACTTAGGGTGATTAAAGCCATGGACGATGCTTTATTATTGCTTAAATACATGTATATACCTAAGAAGCAATTTTACCACAACAGCAACCTCGAAGCAGTTTGCCATGAAGAAGCCAATGAAAAGACTTCGCGATGTAGACACGCAAGGGTCAATCCGGCAAAAACACAACACAACAAATCGAAAGAGTTCCATTGTACAATAAATAATCTACAGGAAAATATAGGGTTTCATTTCTTATATACAAATGGTTAGTGAGAGAATAATTATGCAAGAACGCGAAAAATCTGACTGTCGTGAAAGCCATGTTTTTTTTTCGTTTTAATATGCAATTCTTATGATGTTGACCTGAACTGCTGAACGATCAAAATCAACCAGGCTCGCGTAGTTACAAAAACAAATTCTTTACAAAATAAACAGTAAATTTTAAGCGACATGGCCCAGAAAAATCATAGCGTTTTTTATGAGCCAAATTTAACTTACTGTCATCAGGTATTACCTTCGAGAAACCATCCGTTGACTTATACGATCGTATCCTTTGGGTTGGATATGCATATGACCGATCCCAACCCTATAAAAGACGACAAACGCACAGTTTAGAAGCTCACCGGTTAGAAAATAAACCAAACCAACGTCAAACGCCTGTCGTTTTCGTTGCTTGTTATGAATATGAGTTAAAGGGAATAAGCGAGCTCGATCGCTCGTTCGTCCCTTCTGAAAAACTAACTTACCTGTTCGCTTGCAGTTGAGACGGATATTGTGGAGCCCGCTTCGTCATAATACGGGTCCCTAGGATCGTGAGCCATCGCTTGGACTTAAAAGAAGAATCATGCCATGGAAAGAAGGTATCTGCGCGAATCTTGGGCAACAAAATAAACTTTTTAGGCAGTGTATGAATATGAAATGTTATGCAGTACACACAGACACACAAGCAGATGGCGCCTTGCCTCATTTGCATCAAGTGACGTAACTTCCCCGGTCTTACATCTGATTGGTTGTTGACAACAGCCTCGACCCGAAATTCGACATTTTCCATGGAACATTTTGAGCCGACAGATCTTTTTCCAACAAAAGCAGTGGAGAACTTCCAATTTGGGGTTTCATCATCTCTGGATTAAAAATAGAATCAATAAACGTGACCGGAAGAAAAATTTTGACTCTAAATTTAAACTGTCATTCGCGTCAGACCTTGTGCGCCCACGTGATTCTGTGCGGTCAAGTTGTGTGGGAAGCAATTTTACTCACATACGCAAATCATATTATTCATATTATTGGAATTGTGCTTTTCTAACTTAACCGAAGTAGCATTGAACGCATATAATTTAGACCAATTCAAATCTATTTAATGTATGTTCTAGCATTCTTCACAGGGGTTCCAAGACAATAACAAGTCGAAAAAGTACTATATGGTCCTATGTCGTCTTATCAAAAGTTCCACAACACATAAAATATTTTTCAGCGCCCCAACAGAGGCTTCAAAAAGCATTCATGAGTAAATACCATAATCAGGTATATCGAAATGCTGCGGCAAAAAGTGGTCGTTTTTATTAAAGAGAATTGTTGAAGTTTGTTAAAGCAATATTTGAAGATAGAAGTAATAAGTAACCTGAAATATTTCACAAAACATCCATCTGGATTAGCTGATAGATGAAGCGGACAAGGGAGTATACATCAACAGTAACGTCCGTTAAACGCATTTGTCTCTACTTCTGAAAGAAATAGAGGAAGGATAAATTACGGTTTAGTTACAATTATCGTGCTGAGTTTCTGGGGGGTAGGACTACGTTTCATTTTTGATGCATTGAAGCGTGTGTAGATACCATATGCAAAAGTTAGAAACAAAGAGTGACTTAAGAGAATCTGACACCAAAGCTTCTGATACATAACGAAATGATATACGTAATAGCCACCATCAATGTCCGTTATAGAGTTCGTCGTTGTTTTTCTGAAATTTTGGGTCAGCAACGTTTTTTAACCCACGCAATTACCTTCAAATTAACTGAAATAGTTACGATTTTAAGCCGAACAAGCTGGATAGTTGGCATGGATATAAACAAGCCGAACTCGAATGCAAATTGAAAAAAAAAATTGTACCGGGACAAAAACCTAAAAACACTTTGTAATTTGCTGAAACCGTGGGACCTCGAACTGATGGAAAACACATCTCTTGTGTACGTGAAATGTTTCAACGTCACAATGCGGGGAGTCAACCGAAGGAGAAGCTTGTAGTCCCTCCTACAGAAACTATGACGTTGATCTTCAGTAAAAATCGAGACTGAATTATTTCGCAATACTGTCTTCCCTAGCAACTGCCTTTTTGTGATGGAGACCTGAAACAGTTATTATGAATATAAACAAAATTTTCAGTGAATCTGAATGCAGTACTAGACTAGTACTAGTAGAAAAATTGTGAAAACAACTTCAACAACTTATGCCTGAAACCAATTTTCTACAGTCAATCATTAGTGCAGTGAATTTTAATGAACATGGTTGTGTATTTTTGAAATTATGAAGAACCCTGGCATAATATCAAAATAATTACATGTTCTTTTTCAGTCTAAGGTCACGTCCACGTCCACGTACACGAATTCGGGTATTTTTGAAACCGCATATATTTTTACACGAATCGGCCCTTTCGTTAAACAGTGAATCTGCTCACCGAAAACTCATCTTATTGAAACCGCGACTCCAGAGTGGTTTTTAAAAGGCCCGTCCAGACAAATCCGGGTAAAAAATATGCGGTTTCAAAAATGTCCGGAATCGTGTGGACGGAGCCATAAAAATATCAGCTTTAATGATGATTAACGTGTAATAAATAATTTCCTGCTTCCATACTGTAAAACAAAGAAAAAAACTCAAATGGCACGATTAGAAACCGGTGAGATAATACAGGCAGCTAGGGTTTAGCCTTCGAATTCGATTCACGACTCAGTTACATTTTAAATGTATTAAGGTCAGATTTACAATTTTGTCACTCATACACTCTAGGCCTGTGGCATTAGACGCCTTTTTCGGCTTCATTTTTATACGCCGAGAAAAGATCTTTCTCTAGAACTTGGATAAGTCCCAAGGAGCCGACCATTCAACTTTTGAGGGGTGAGGCGGGGGGGTAGCCTGCGAACGCAAACGTATTTCCCGTCGTCACTGTCTCGCCGAGAGAGAGAAGCGACGACCGGAAATACGAATGCGTTCGCAGGCTAACGGGGGGGAGGGCCATGTCAGAAAAAATGTCGGAGCGAAAAAAATCCATTTAGTGAGTAAAAAGAAACAGAACGAAGCAAAGTAGTCTTGGGAAAAAAGTTATTGCCCAACTATAAAATCACCCAAGCCACTCTTTCCCTTAAAAAGTTAAATGATCGGCCCAAGTCTTCACGAAGGTAACGTTTAATAGTAACTTCTCGGGGTACTACTGAGAAGAAAATGTCGCCATGAACCCGCTAAAAACACGCTTTACATGAAATAAAAAAAAAATCTCATGAATTACTACAAATAATTCATGAAAACTAAAACTTGTATAGCCGTGGTTGCAAATTTTGAAAATAACACTTCTGTAAGTCACAAATCTACTTGTTTCAGTTACTTCTACGATTAGGTTTCTTCAAGTGATGAGCTAACGCAGAAATGGGAATATCTTTAGTTTTTTGTTATTGTTCATTGCGCTGAACATTTCTTTCACGTTTCTTTTTCGTTGTTCATGGTCTCAGTGATCGTCAGCATCAACATCATTAGAGCGTTATTCTCGTTGTTTATCGCTTTCTATCAATCTGTAAGCCTTGTTGAAGCTGCCCTCGATGAAGCTTTGCACCAAGCCCTGAATTTCTTCTTCATTTGGGCATTCCAGCTCGTTCAGAATCCGCGTGATATCTTCCGCCATCATAGAGGCAGAACCACAACGATGCTTAAAAGAGGATTCCACGAACAGAGCAATATCCAGAGGAAAAAGATCGGATTTAATATCAGCACTACTGTCAGCAATGTATTTCGCGCGTGTCCCTGTGCGGATAGACTCACATCTAACCTCAGACCGAGCCAGGGCGCCTGCCCTAGCAACTTCAGAAACAAAAACGGTAGCAGACATTGTATCTGGGATTGAAGAGGACATCGTGGGTGCCGACGTGGCAGCTCGAAGAAACTTCGCACAGAATTCCACTTTCGTCACAGTGGATGGGTCCATATCTTCACAGGCTATCCACTTGTAAAGGAATTCAAAGCCACTCTCACCAATTTCCTTAAGAAGAACCAAGTTATCATTCAGGGGTATAAGAAACTCTGCCAGAGTAGATATGAAGTTTTCCAAGGAATTAAATTGTTGTTGAAGCTCCAAACAACCTTTGCGATCCTCTTCAATTGACGCCTGCACTTCACTGAGCCCTAAACTACGCAGGATTTCCTCAAATTCGGTTTTGCCTATCATTGCAATTATACTGGCTATGATAGGTATACAATATACTGAGATTGAGGCTAGCCCAGAGAGCGTGGCCACTAATCTGTATTGCCTGGAATGGACTTCTGACTCAACGTCTTTCAAATGCACTGCAAGTGACTTTAACTTTTGTATAGTGGCCTCTCTTGTCATGATCAATCGGAGAACAGCGTTCTGCAGATCCTCGCGTAGTCTCCGTAAGTGTGCAAACTTCTCTCTAACCTCATTCACCAAGTCTTGCTTTTTAGGTGGATCACTGACGTTGTTGATTTGCAAGGATACTGGACCAGTGGCTAAGAAAAAGAAACAATTAAATAGTTAAAATAAATTCTGCAATTTCTTTCTTAACTGTTAACAAATAGTAGCGGGTGAACTTAAATTCGATGATAATAAATACGGTCATTGAGCTGGACTAAGCTCAAGGCTAAGTTTGGAATGTACCACTTACGATAAAAAATCACCATCATGTAAAAAACTATATTTAATTTCAAATTTGCGGATTAGCAAAATTGTTAATATATTCGATTTTAGCTTCTATGTCACTTTTCTTTCAAAAAATGTGGCTTTGGAATCAATATTGGAAGCGAAAATTATGTGAAAGGAGACTTCCGTATGTTGGCTTGTAGAACTGAATTTTACCCCAACGATCGATTTTTCGCAGCGATCGCAGCAATATCGTTGGACCTTTTAAGAGATCGTAGCGGACATAGGAAAAAATAGGCTTAAGAAGTAAGCGTCCCGATTACTGCACACACACGTGCGCGCGCGCTCTCGTAATCCCCTTACACCAACCTGCATGTTGATTGGTGCGAGGCCGTGAACATGCACTGTACTCCTCGATTTGCCCACATTCTCTCAGAATGTTTTCCGCTTCAATGAATGCTCTTGCCATTTCTTCTGACTCATCTGCATGGTAATGTTTCCAAAGTTTCTTTAGGATTTTCAATGCTACCGACGACTCCCTGTGATTAAACAGCGCTTGCCGCACCTTTTCCAGATTCTCTAAGTAAGCATTCATCTGCTCCGGCTTCGAAGGGTCGACAAACTGAAAGTATCTGAGAGCAATTGAATTAAGGGAATCTTGCGCTGATGGAATACCTCCATACATCGTGGGATGTGGCGGAATAAATGCCGTCATTTTAATACCCAGGCCTACTTCTTGGGATGCCTGTGGTATTATAGGCATCCATTGAACAAAATGCCCCGTGCTGTCAGCTGTGCTGTCCCCATAAACATTTGTCAGATGAACTGCTGAATAAAAGCGATTAATGAAATGTGGTTGTGGAAGAAGGGAAGTTTTAAAGTAAGATAACTAATGAAAAGATCAGGATGTTAAGTGTTAAGTGTGCCTTCCCGTCAGATGATTAGATCACGGAAGGAGTGAGTTTATATCAAGAATACAATTAGGAAATTCGCTTAGGACAAAAACAAGCCTGAATTTTAGGAACGCCAGAAAACAAAGAAAGACGCGAAGAGAGAAAAAAAAACATGCACTTTATTTAAGTGTCAATGTATTTAGCACGAAAGTACTAATTGAGGACACTATTTTTACGTCTCCTACTGGAGACAGGACCACCACTTTACATGGTCATCCGAGCCACGCGAAGGTCAAGCTATTTGCAGGGCAAAGGCAGTACCTTCATTTCTCAGTTATTTTAAGACCCTGAGTGTTGGTCCGCTCCCGGGAATCAAACCCACGACCTCTCGCTCTGCAGTCAAGCGCTCTACCGACTGAGCTAATCCTGCCCCGGTAAAGAGAAGACTGCTATAGTGATACCTCCGCTTGTTACAAAGAAAGGTAGCAAAAACACCGCGCACGTAAAAAACACTGTTTTCTTCCATGTCAATGAACAAGCTGTTAAATTCGGTAAATGAGGTTTGACTAATATTGTGCGTATTGTTTCTGAGTACTTTAGCTTCATTATTTGTACACCGTAAGCAGAACGAAGACTCCGCCCCGAGCAGTGCGGACTGTTTTGTTGCGAGTCACAACTGACTCACGCAGGCTTCTTCATTATATGTGAAAATATCTGAATTGCTTATCTGAGATTACATGAGTTAATATTTCCTTCACAAAAAAGCCAGGAAAGCAAAAATAACCTCTTTTTAACTTACCGCCAGCAGAGTGAAATCCAGCATCTATTAAACGATACATCTCGCCTAGCTGATCTTTAATATCTTGTGTTTCCTCTCGAAATATGGACTCTAAGCGCCGCGCTCCCCCATCAATAGTTTGCGTTGTTTCCGCCTGTAAATTGCTGATTCTTGTTTCCAAACGGTCGATTCCCTTGTGTGTTGCGTTGATTCCCTCAAGCGTTGTGACTTTGAGAGCCTCCATGGATTTCTTGATATCCATATCATTCATATACCATCTCTCCAGTTCTTTTGCATTCCTATCATCGTCTGGCGTGAGGGGATCCCTCAGGAAGTTATCCACAGAAGTTTGCCATGCTGTTTTCGTCGAGTGACCAATCTGTCCAGCAATTCTCACAAGAGCATCGCCAATTTCTTGCCAAAGGATTAGAAACTTGCCATCTGGGATCTCCATACACTGGTTAACGTGACCGAAAATGGAGTTTCTGTAGTACTTTATTCTCGCGAAATCTGCGGTTAAACTGACGTCTGAGCTTGTTGGTAGCACATCCCAACCCGTGGGTGGAGGACTGAGGTTGCATATTGTTCTCAGCAGACGAAAGAGAAGAGTAACGTCAAAGTCTACTGACTTACCGTACCCCCCTGGGTATGGGTAGAGACAGTCCCACTGCGGCTTAGTTAATTTCGCTGCTTTGAGCTGTTTCTGTATAGCAGGATTGCTAAGTACTAAAGGAAAATTACTTGGAGGATGAATGTTGTCAAAAATCTCTCTAAATAGGGCAGTGCCTCCACTTATTAAAAGTCTTGCAAGGCGCTGAAAATTTGCCTTACCATCAGTTGAACGCAGTACATCATCTGGGTCAAGAGCAGCTGCCATCCCAGAAAATGACAGAATAGTAAGGCCTGCAAGAGTGGAATGAAATGCCGTGACAGTGATGATGAAGGCTCCCAAAGCCTACTAGTCTCCCTCGCAGCCGTTTTTTGGATGTCACGCAATGCTCCGCCCAAAAGAAGAGCGTCGCGGGGGAGCGTTGCGTGACATCCAAAAAACGGCTGCAAGGGAGAGCCTATATGTCAACGAAAATAGAAATAATTGATAGAAAAAGAAAACATGCGCGCAGTGGACGACGGAAAGAGAGAAAAGGCGGGAGACCTCTCTTTCTCTGTAACTCTTCCCATCATCCCCCGCGCTTTCATTTTCCCTCTCCCCAGCTTCACAAAGAGGCCTATGGAGAGGAGAGAAGTAAATTTTAGAGCTTTCAACCCGTATCTTGAAGCAAATGTCTGTTAATAAAATCACTCCGACATAGACTGACTGTCATGCAAAGGGTGGCTCAGTATTTATAAGTCAGGGTTATTAAGCCAATACCTAGGTAAAAATATGACAATGAGCATGGTAGATGGTACACTAGCCTGTGTCATGCCAGGCATTCATATTGTGAGAACGGCACAAAGATATTAAGTACGAGGAAAAGAGATGGTGCCGGTAGGGAGGGGGAGTGCGTTTCCTCCTCTCTCCCTGTCCCCTCCCTCATCCCCCTTATTCCCCCCCGACTTCACCAGACTTCCCTGTAGTACACTAAGTATGAATTTCTAGCGACCTTGCCGAATAAAAAATGGCAGAAGCAACAACTTGCTCGCTACCATGGTGCCTTTTCACTGGGTTTGTTAGTGTTTTTGGCACAGATAATTAGCAATTCAAAGAAGGTGTAAACAAGCACATGCATCACGCAGTATAAAATGTTTACCTGGCAAAAGATAGGCTACATCACATCTTAGCTGCTCTGTCGGCACTTAATTAATTTCGTTTAGTCTCCGGTAAATACAGAAAACTTAACACGATTGAGGTATGATCAAATATTACAGCGAAGCAGACATCATCAATTCTATCTCTTTCGCTTTTGCTTCATGCAAAGCGGAAGTGAGTTTGCAAAGGTTAACGGGAAGCTATCCTAAGGGCAAGAAGAGACGGGTGGGTGGAGACAACTACACTGAAATTCAGCTTTTTTAGTCTATAAATATGATAAATCAACATGGTACTGTGCTGTACTTCAAGGATCTTTAACTTTCCGAAAGAAATTAACTAGCATCGCTACTTTCCGTAATAGCGACCTTTCGAAAGTCTTTTACGACCTATCACTTCTTTTAAGCTCTGAAATGTATATTTTACATTTTAACAAACATTTTCTGTGGCTCTATCCATTTCTGGTTAAAAAACTTGATGTACTTTTGATTTCGCGTCCTTCTCGCGGCGGGGAGTCGTGTAATGCAACGCGCGTGGCCCTGGGGAGAGAAAAATTCTGTCGACTCATCCGCCATCTTGAATTGAAAGAAAAAATTGTTTGAAAGATCACGTTAAATTCGCGAGTTACTAGCGTTAATTTATAATGCCTGGACCAGAGGAACCGATCACTAAAGTGGTCGTCCATCCGATTGTGTTGTTAAGTGTTGTGGATCACTTTTACAGAATGGGAAAAGTTGGAAACCAGAAAAGAGTTGTTGGAGTATTGTTAGGCTCAAGGCGAAAAGGTGTTCTTGATGTCGCAAATAGCTTTGCTGGTGAGAATCAAAGCTTGGCATAAGTTTTAGAATACGTAACCGGGGTTAATACTTATCGTTGGGCCGAGATATATCTTTATGTTGCTCTTCTAACCGTGTCAGAATATGATTGTCACGAAAATAGCGAAATAGAGACTGATTTAACGCACGTGTACGCTTTCATCTAAGTAAAAATCATCCCGGCTCTGTCGGTGATTGAACGTTTGGTAATTGATTTTCTTAAAAGTAAATGTGTAGTAAGCAGGAATCTTACTTTTTTTCTCTTCTTTCTTATTCATGGCAGTTCCATTTGATGAAGATGAGAAAGATCCAAGTGTTTGGTTCTTAGACCATGATTATTTAGAGAACATGTATGGAATGTTTAAGAAAGTTAATGGTATGTGTCGTACTGATTGTGTATCTACAAAGTTTGTATGTTCAAACCTTAATATGCAGGGCTCGAAATTGCGTCTGATACGGTCGCCAATGCTACTAACATTTTATTTTTCTCCTTGGCGACTAAAAATTCTGGTTTGGTCGCCAAAGTGGCGACCAGATTTCTCTATGATTTATATTTAAATTAAAAAAGTAAAGTTAAAACAAATAATTCATGTGCCAAATCCCATAAACATAGCCAGTTATCAGTAACCTTCAAATTTATACTGACTTCTGTCCATGATATTTTCAAACAATCAAATCTTGTGGATCACGCCAAACTATGAGCTGCGTCGTTTACATTATATAAACTGGTATCTAAAAATTTGTATCTGGCGACTATATTTCTCCAGTTGGTCGCCAAAAGGCGACCTGAGGATTTTTTTAACTTCGAGCTCTGATACGGGCACCAAAGGGACAGACCAAGCTGTCTGCGTTATGAGGGTGTCTGCATTACAGTAAAGGTTGGAACCCTCAGGAGGCACACAACTTCTCCATAGTAAACTGTTACAAGATTAGCTCAGTTGCTAGAACGCTTGACTGCAAAGCGGGATGTTGTGGGTTTAATCCCGGGGGCCACTGTGTTTACCCTGCAAATGCCTAGACATTTGATAGCTTTTTTTGGCAATGTAAAATGCCTTTCCTGTCTTAGGAGACATAAAAACAGCATCCTTTATTAGTATTTGTGTAAAATACACTGACACTCAAAAAAGTGCATTTTTTATAGTAGAGAGGAACCCATATTTGGAGTTGTCCAAATGGACTTCGTTCTTTTGAACATTGTTAAAGGTTGAAAAGAATGCCCAGAATTTTTTTTGTAATCTTTGTTATATTTTTTTAGCTCGAGAGAGAATTGTTGGATGGTATCACACTGGTCCCAAACTACACCAGAATGATGTTAAAGTCAATGAGCTTATCCGAAGATACTGTTCAAACTCTGTAAGTTTGTAAAAGTATAATTTTTTTGACTGTCAATTTGAAGTTGATTGTGACATATATCTTAATGAGACATTTTTTTTTCTAGGTGCTTGTTATTATTGATGCAAAGCCTAAGGATCTTGGTTTACCTACAGACGCTTATGTCGCAGTGGAAGAAGTACATGATGTAAGACACTAAATCTCAATGTGTAACATAGTGAAAAAGTTTTGTGAAGAAAAAAAATCTGCAAGTATTTTTAGTCAAAATACAAGAATGAGACAAAACTAGGAATATCATCTTAAGATATATTGTTTCATTTTACTTACCTGGAAATCTGAGGATCAAGCCCAAAACTTAGTTGTGACAACTTTATTCTTCAGGCTGCCATTAAATTTGCTGACCAGTTAGGCCATGAAAATACACCTTACTGACCCTGGGCAATGGGACAACACTTTTGTTACACCTCAATACAGTAGTCCTAAAGGACATATTCTAAACACTTTCACTGGAGGAGAAGTTTTGACCTTCCAGGTGCTGATCAGATAGTCTCACCACTGAACTATATCAGACTTGAAGGTGATGTTACACAAGACTGTTGGGAATGACGATTTTTAGTGCAACACAGTAGCAATATTGTTTTGACATTGCTTTGAATAGTTACAACATTGTTCCAACATTGCAACGATGTGGTTCTCTAAAAATCATCCTTGCAAATAGTCCCGTGCATTATCACCTTACGGGATGGTTATATACAGGGCTGTCACTAAGAGCTGGGGGCCGGAGATTTTCTTTAGCTACTATGAGCAAGAGCCGCGGTTAATCTTATAGGAAACAAAAAGAAAATAAAGTCAAAAGTACTTCCTTGCTGTACAATTCTCCTCCTACTAAACACATATACCTGGCAACTTGAAATTTTAGTGACAGCCCTGCATATTCCTCTTTTCTAGCCAAAGAGAACAGGCTGGACCATATTTTCAATTTACACTGTTGTGTTGAAGTTTTTCGTGCATTTCCTTTCTTAGGATGGAACCCCTACAACAAAGACATTTGAACATATTGCAAGTGAGATTGGCGCTGAGGAGGCTGAGGAAGTTGGTGTTGAGCATTTACTTAGGTAGTTAACTGAGCCCCTATAAACACTGACAAGAGTAAACAAAATAATAGTAATCAACAACCATTGATTAGAGACCTCTTTCATATCTCCTATTATATGCTTGATATTTAGCCATTCTGACCTCATTTCAAAGTAAGAATTCTTTTGCATTTCTCACATGCTAACAAGGCGTATAAAATTATCGTACATATTATTAAAAGAATATATTAATAGGCCACCATTATGAAAGAGGTCTATTATTTACCCTCAGCATCATTTTTTTAAAATTTCGTTTTGCTTATTCAGTAATTCTAATTCTAATTATTCTATCTCAAGGCAGAGTGCCCAAGATTTTCTTGTTGTTATAAACTTGCTGGCCATTTGGGTAAAACTCTAGAGGAACTCTGCTAAAAAGATAATATTTCCTTGCCTTGAGTATACATTCTCTTTTCTCAGCCTGCACCCATAATTAAAAAGTAAGTGGGTTATTGTCTTAAATGCTTTTTATAAAGGTTACGTGGTCACATTTTATTTTCATTGATGTTAGGGATATCAAGAACCTTACTGCTGGAACGCTTTCCCAGCGCATCACGAATCAACTCCTGTCACTCAAAGGCCTCAATTCACGTCTTCAAGACATCAGAGATTATCTGGATAAAGTTGCCACTGGCAAGCTACCTGTTAATCACACCATCATATATCAGCTACAAGATGTGTTTAATCTGTTACCTAACTTAAATCTGGAGGAATTTGTGAAGTCCTTATCCGTGAAAACAAATGATCAGATGTTAGTGGTGTATGTGGCGTCGTTAGTGCGGGCTGTGATTGCGCTCCACAACTTGATTAACAATAAAGTGGCCAACAGGGATGCGGAGAGAGATGAGGCTGGAAAGAAAGAGGAGAAGAGTAAAGAAAAGGACAAAGACAAAGAGAAAGACAAGGATACGAAAGATAAGAATGCTGAAGACAAAGAGAAGTCAGAAAAGACAAAGACTGAGGACTCTAAGAAATCTTGAATGTAGTATTTATAGAACTATACGCCCTTCTTGCTTGTCATTTGTTATTTTGTAAAATAAAATGTTGCATCCTTCGAAAAACATTCTATATTCTTGCAGAATTGATTTTGTTTTGTCAATACTGTGTTGTTTATCCCTTTAAGTCCCAAGAGTGACCAACATCAATTTTCTCCCAACAATATCAATACAAAATCAAGAGAAAAAGGTTGTGAGAATTAATGAAATAATCACCAAAGAGAAAATACTTTGATCTTCTTCCAAATTCTCTCAACTCATTCTTCATGGAAGTGTATAGAGGCCAGTTTGGAGAATTTGTATGTGGATATTGGGGCTTAAAGGGTTATTCATAATATTTTGACCTGTCTTGTTCCTTTACCATGGTTTTGCAACATCTATTACTGACTGGTGGTATTAACCTGTAAAAAAGTCTACTAAATGAGCAGAATGGTTTTATCAGGTTTGAGCATGACACTCATTAAACATTAATATTGCCTTTGTATTTTTTAATGAACTTTCTTGTCTCAATATCCCACTCTAGATAACATCTTGTAGCAAAAACAATGCATGGCCAGGTAGCAGCATTAACGTAAGGCCCATTTTTAAGTGAAACTCTGATCTTTACCACACGTCCCAGAGTTTACTGCTAAAAACCAAATCCTTGGAGAGGACCTGTCATATACGGGTGATATAGGTATGAACGGTAACTGGTCAAGTGGCCCGAAGTCATGTCGCCTGAAATTTATGGTCATGTCACCCGAAATTTTATTGAATGTATAAACTTGAAGAAAAGTAATATCTTAAGTATATCAAAAGGAATAAAGTCAAAAAATGTTGACTCAACTGTGTCCAGTAACCTATGCAAATGTGAGGTCAAACGACAGGAAAATCAACAACTTGGTTTCACGTTTCGTATTTCACTCTGACTAGCATTTTTTATCGCATTTGCATAAACAAATTTTGAATATATCTTTAGTTTAGTTTTTTATGATCTTTCTTAACATTATGAAATTTCGGGCCACATGACTCAGGATATCGAGTGACATGACTTTCGGGTGACCAGACCATAAACTGTATGCGCTACTGTGAAGGGTAGTGTATTCAAGCAGTTTAGGCTGAGATAGGGGATAGAAATCAAATAATGTTTAGTCTAGAATAGTGTCGCATTTATGGGAAATTCCTTATTGATCAGTAGAAAAATGAAGAATTGGAGTTTCTGGTTCATAGTATACTGTTAGTCTAAGCCTGAATTTGTATCGGTAATAGCATGAGTTGTAATGATATTTGGCATAAATACCACAAGTGATATTTCGAAATTGTTATTCGTAATTTCACGAGCCGTTAGGTGAGTGAAATTTGAGGCAATTTTGAAATATACTACTACCCGCAAAAGTTTTGTAATTTTCACATGAAGGTATTTCAAATTAAGCTGAAATGCCACTGCTCTAAGCAAAGCAAGTTGCAGAAATTTCTCATTTAGTAGTACATCCGTAACTCCTGAGACAGACGACATCAAAATTCCAACTGAAAATAGTCTGGTAAATGAATTAGAGAGATTTCAGGGTCAAAGTGGTAGATCCCCACCCTAAAATTCCTAAAGGACACCCCCTGTCAGAACCATATATTATACCTGTTACAAATTTTAAGGCAGGATGATGACAAGGATTATATAACTTTGGAAGTATAGGTCTCAAGTTTTAAAAACACGGTGTCTTGAACGATCCTGTCTATGATTGGCTGCGTTAATTACAGAACGACTTAAAATGTGTCCGCATCTCATCATCACATTTATTTCACATTGTTTGGAAAGTGTGACGTGACAATACGGAAGAAGTTCTGCGCACGCTCAAAAGCGAGTCGCGAAGCGAAAGTAATATTCGAATATTTATGATAACGTCTTTTAACTTATTTGTCTCAACTAAATTCACCGAATTCTTAAGGGTCTAGAATTTGCCACCTATTCTTTCCTGAAAACATGAATATTCAGACACACACTGAGAATATCAGGTTGCTATATTAAGTGCAATCCTGCACGCGTTGACAGTTCTTTCATCGCAGTCGAAGGAAAAAGTTAGGTACTACAGCTTACGACAATGGAAAAAGGTTTGTTACCATAACAGTTTCAGATAAAATTAAGTTTATGGGGTAGAATAATACACGATTTGTTCGTCCATTGAAGGGATATGTAAAATATATCGCCATGCTCTATTTGTGGTACGTATTTTTAGCACCTGTGCTCGCATCGAGCATTTGTCGCATGTTTATAAAACCTCGCCAATTTCCTTTGCTGATGTGAAGAATCATTTCTCATTTATGTCATACAAAATTGTAACAATATTCTTGGGGTATTTCGGGTGCATAAATCTCATAAACGCGAAAGGAATCACAAATCGTATAAAGCCAAACTCCGAGAAACTTCGATTCGTTCATTGCAGTTTCATTTTCAAACGGAAATAAATTATCTTAAATGGAAAGTATTGCATGTAAAGCCAATGACTTGGCCGGTATTGGCTGCAATGAACACTAACAGAAGTGGTCTCGCGAACTCGAAAACTGATTTTCGCGATCCTTTCGCTTTCTAAATGTATGAACTAACTGAGCGATCAGATTAAATGTGTATAAAAGTAGGTAGAAAAAAAGCAGGTCAATGTACACAGGGTTGAAATAGACACTTCCGTGTTTGGACTATCCTCGGAAGCGCCTTTGAAGCGCCCTTAGCAATAAGCATACGCTATTTCTGTATAGGCTGTTTCGAAAACTAAGATCCCGTAAACTAAAGGAACAAAAAGACTTAGAAGGAAACTTTCCGCACAGCTTCTTACATTATGTGCACGCAGTAATCTCATGATCGGACTGTTTCACATAAGTATAGTTAAGAAAAATATAAATCGAATAGACTCGAAACATGAATGCATATTAAATAACTGTATGTTAGTACTAACAACCAGAAAAATAAGCCGTTAGATCCTGAAAACTAACCAAGCAACGTTTGATTGTCATTTCTGTATGCGAAGGAACGATGCGACGCTTGTATTTTTCCGTGTAGGAAAATGTAAATATTTTTAGCGCACGTCAGACATTGTCTGTCACGCAATGCAAATGTAACGCACGAACAAGGTACAAAATCAAAAGTACAAGGGTAAAAAATTCACAAAGAGAGAAAAAGTTTATTTCAAGCAGATATGGAATTTAATGTGATTTTCCTGTTGTGAAAGCAATTTGGTTTTTAATAAATCTGTTACGTTGGTATGTTAGCTTCCAGTTTGCCACAAGGGTAACCACAAAAAATAAGAATCAAGGTTAAGGCAACTGAAACTGGTTTTCCTGAGTAGTCTCAAGAGTTATACCACAGGAACCATAGTTGCCTACTAGCCTACTCCAGGTTTGCAGATATAAAGTGAGGGCAGCGTGAAGAGAAGTGAGCAGGACAGAAAAAAGCGAGGGGGATAGGGAGAGAGGAAGCGTTCTCCCCCTCCTGTTCTACTGCGTTTTACCCCTCCTCTTCGCTCACCATTTCGCGCCACTCTCCGCTATCTAAACGCCTGGAAAAGGCTAAGAGCTGACCGGAGGCAAGTCAATGCCATTTTTTGTTGATCGCAACATTCGAAACGCAAAATAAAACTGCCCAAAGGGGCTACTTTGGATTATGGCTTCCATTTTTCACTGTAAATGTTTGTGGCAAGGAATTTGACCCAAGAAATGTTGATCTTTGTTCTTTTACAGAGGTGGAAAGCAACGAGGGTAGCGGTGACGTGCTCGAAAACCACGAATCATTCATCGTCAACCAAATCACTGCGCAATTTGAACAGTTGCGCAAACTTCGAGAGGAATTACACGACGCTTTTCTCAGTTGGATACCAATTAGAACGCGCACTAAAAAACAATTAGAAGAACTAGCCACAAAGCTACATGAACATCACAGAAACGTGAATATCTCAACCATAACAGGAGCATCCATGGGTACCATAGGAGGGATCCTGTCAGTTGCGGGCCTCATTGCTGCACCCTTTACATTTGGGGCAGGAATCGTAGTGTCCCTTGTTGGGGCAGGAATAGGTGGCGCGGGAGGACTGGTCATGTCTGGTTCTAAAGTCGTTGAGATAATCTTAGAAAAGTTAGGACTCAAAGAAGTGCAAGCGGCAATTGAGAACGATCGTGAAGCTTGTAGTGAGCTCCAAAAACAGTTAGATTCCTTAGAGAACTTCATCTCTAGCTTAGCAGAGTTCCTTAAACCACTGCATGATGACGCGGTTTTGCTCAGAGAATTAGAAGGAAGTGGATTTGAATTTCTTAGTCAGCGGATATCCTATGAAGAGATCGGCGCGTCCACCGAAGAGAGAGTAGAATTCGGTGCCAGGTTCTTCAGAGCAGCCACTTCCGCAGCCACAATATCTGCATCAGCGGCCGCTACTGCAGGCGCTGTAGCCAGAAGTGCGGCTATCGCGGGGACGCGCGCGGCACACGTTGCTGGTTCTGTAATCAGCGCCGCTCTGTTGCCGCTGGATATCACGTTACTCGTTAAATCATCTTTGGAGCTGCACCGTGGATCCACATCTGCCGCTGTACAAGATATCCGGCGGATTCTTGACGAACTTGAGTGCCCAGATAAAGGGGAGATCCAAGGTTTGGTGGAGAGCTTCATTGATGAGAAATTTACCGAGGCGTATAATAAGATGGACGATGACAAGGAACAGGAGCAGAATCGAGACAGTGATGATAGTAACGAGCAGGATAAACAAAATGATGACGTAGATAAACGACAAGGAACCGAAAAAGAAATATTACTTCCAAATGATAGTTAACACAAAAACAAAAAGGTTTTGAAAATGATAGAGACATTGCTGCAAACGACGCTGTTACAAGAAATAATGAATGCATGTCAAATTTTCCCCTTCTAGGATATAACGTTTTGACTCACGCAAAGGAAAAAGTCATACATGTTGTAGTAAATGTAGTAACTGTATCGTGTTAATGCAAAGAGTCAAATAATATTAAAATGTGTATCATAAACGACTGGTTAGGTTTTGTGAACCTACGATCCCATGAGTCCATAAACACTTATACAAATATCCAGAGAGGGCGGAATAGCTTCCGCCTACACTCTCTTTCCTTGTTATCCCAGAGCGGATTAGGGAGACTACTCTTTAACGCCTTAAACCCTAACATCAAAATTCAAATTCTCATTTGTTATCCCTATACGTTTTCAATAGAAGTAGTGGGGAGAATTTCTTGAAGTATCAATTGGATTCATCTTGTGTGATCATGTCCTTAATTCTCATGACCACTCTGTTTCATAAAGCAGTGATATTACAAGGAGAAATTTGACGCTGATCACTCTTATGGCTTAAAGGGTTAAAGAGCTTCTATTGTGTTTATGTCTTCCCCCAAAACTGGAGGACCGTTGCGTGACGACAAAGAGAACTGATGAATACTGAGACTGGGTCACGAAACCGCGGAAAGAACGGATCATTTTGTCTTAAACATGTTCAGGGTTTAAAGGACTCAGCAGCACATCCGTACCCAAACTTCCCTCAAGTGCGTCCCCTTCCCTCAACCCACCCTCCCCCCCTCCGCCCCAGGATAAGGACAAAAACCTGCGTTTTTTTTTTTTTTTTAACAGTACCCTGGTGCTAGTTTCGCTTCACCGGAGATCTTGGATTTCCCCTTAATTGTAACTTCTTATATTAGCAGGTGTGTTAGCTCGCACCCATTTAGTCAATAACAAAAGCGGTGGCCGCAGTTAGTTTTTGAAAGGTGAGTTGGTGAAATCAGCCTTCTGACTGCCGGTAAGGCCACTGCTTTCAAACTATTGGGGGCAGGATATCTTGTTACTAGCTTGGTATTAAAAAACGCTTTTTTAACTTCAACAAATAGGGAGGCCCTTCCCGTGACCAAACCCGAAGCGCTGAGACACTTCTTTTTGGGCATGAAACGACCGCTCCACCTCGAAACCACCTCAAGCTGGTCTGAATCCATTACGGTTTATATACCAAGTTTTACATCTGAGCCGAAGATAAAGTATCAGTGCGGTAAAAGAGAACGCATACCCTCCGCCCCTCCCCGTGCAATCCCCTTGCTAGACACTTCTCTGCTTTTTCTGTCCCAAAAGCAGTTTGCCCTCCATTTTGCTGGATTCACAGATTGATTTACTAAGAAGGGAGGCCAGGCCGACATCTGTAATATTGGTCTAACAGAACTGTAATCATATCAACAACTAAACTTATACACAAGGATGAAGACTTGCAGGAAAGCTAAACATGATGTATCAGTCACTTTCAGATAGCAATGACTGCAAATAATAATTCTTAGGTGACGCTAACTGTGAATCAGTGGAGCATTATCACAATCATTATACTAATTACATTCCTAGAGGAGAATTTCTTCATATGTAGCTGTATGTTTAGTTATCTAGGTTAAATGTAAATGTCAATTAATTTGTTTCAGTCTTCATTATGGGTCATTAATACACATTGTTATTAACGCCAGGCTTCACGATAAGTGGAGATTTTTTAGGAGTTAGTAAACTGTAATCTATTCTAAACCTTTTTAGCTTTTAGTTCTTTTGGTTTGTTCAAATCACACCCTGTTGCTATGTAAAGATATAGCAATGACCAAACAAATTTTCTCTTCTCACAAAAACCCACACTATTATTATGAAGCAACAAAAAAAACCAAAACAAAACAATATATAAATGAAAACCTAAGAACTTCGAGATTGCTTAGAAGCTACCTGATTGCCGAACTCAAAAAACTTAACTTCTTTTTAAAAAATGGAAAATATAATGTCAAAGAATGTAGCTCAAATTATTGCTGTTCAGAAAAATATATTTACACATGCTTAGATAAATACTTTATAGTTTATTTTCCTTGCTTTTGAGAGATTTTTCCCTTGCTGGGTTATTTTGTTAGCTCTAAGGTCTAAGCTTTGTTTCTTTTGCAGTTAGTATGTGTGAGTGCAGTGCTGTCAGTGAAGCGTTTTATACATCCATCAGTTATCTTATGGAGCTTTAAGTTTAGAAAAAGCAATATTGATTCAGCTTGAAGTTGTTTAGTTTGTAGTTAGTGTGGTGTTAATCAGTTATCTGATTAAAAGCGAGGTTTAATCTTTTTAGTTCGCAAAAACCCTGATTGTGTTGGTTGCCAGGTAACAACTTCGCAATCTCAATACATCCGAGCGACTGAAGGTTGTTGAAGCTTAAATCAAAATCCAAAATTCCTTCAACAGGGAAACATTTACCTTTTAGAAAAGTTAGAAAGATACTTTACATTTTATGTTCCTTGACTTTACGAGATTTTTACCTTTATCAGTTATGTTGTTACCCTCGAGGTTTAAGCTGTTTAGTGTGCAGTTAGTGTTTGTGAGTGCTGTGGATAAATGTTTAACTGCTTCATCAGTTATGTTGTTAAGCATGAGGTTTAAGCTTTTTAGTTCGCAAAAACCCTGATTGTGTTGGTTGCCAGGTAACAACTTCGCAATCTCAATACATCCGAGCGACTGAAGGTTGTTGAAGCTTAAATCAAAATCCAAAATTCCTTCAACAGAGAAACATTTACATTGCATACAAGGATTAGATATATACTTTACAGTTTATGTTCATTGAGTTTAGGAGATTTTTACCTTTATCAGTTATGTTGTTACTCCCGAGGTATAAGCTGTTTAGTGTGCAGTTAGTGTGTGTGAGTGCTGTGGATAAATGTTTTACTCCTTCATCAGTTATGTTGTTACCCCCGAGGTATAAGCTGTTTAGTGTGCAGTTAGTGTGTGTGAGTGCTGTGGATAAATGTTTTACTCCTTCATCAGTTATGTTGTTACCCCCGAGGTTTAAGCTGTTTAGTGTGCAGTTAGTGTGTGTGAGTGCTGTGGATAAATGTTTTACTCCTTCATCAGTTATGTTGTTACCCCCGAGGTTTAAGCTGTTTAGTGTGCAGTTAGTGTGTGTGAGTGCTGTGGATAAATGTTTTACTCCTTCATCAGTTATGTTGTTACCCCCGAGGTTTAAGCTGTTTAGTGTGCAGTTAGTGTGTGTGAGTGCTGTGGATAAATGTTTTACTCCTTCATCAGTTATGTTGTTAGCCCTGAGGTTTAATCTTTTTAGTTCGCAAAAACCCTGATTGTGTTGGTTGCCAGGTAACAACTTCGCAATCTCAATACATCCTAGCGACTGAAGGTTGTTTTCGCTTAAATCAAAATACAAAATTCCTTCAACAGATTTAAGTGCATGCACTAATGCTAAACAGTCGAGAGGTGACAGGTTACAAACAAAAAACTGAAGCCCATTACAACCAATTTTCGCCAGTTTCTTTTGAACTTCTCGATCAGAGGCTTTGTTCTCATACATGCAATTGAATAGCGTCACCACTAATAACCTGTGTTTATAAGCTGGCCAAAAGGTCAGTGTTTCAGTTCGTTCCTCTGAATCTTCATTCATCTTGATGTCAACTACTTCAGTAAAAGTTTCTGAGGGAAGAAGGTCGCTGAAAATATCTGTTGATTGTCCTTCTTTTTCAGCCAGCAGTCCAGCCACAAACTGCATCACAACCTTCCACGCGCCATCTTGGATGTGATCGGAAACAAACTTCTGCAGGTCTTCGGATCTGTACGTGTCCACCAAATACTTCGCCGCTAAGAACTCCTGTATCGTCAGGTGTAAAAAACAGTATTGTTCTCTTCTCTCTGCTAAAGGATTGTCTTTAGTGTCAGGTAAACGGTGAAACAGGCCATTACTCGCTAGGTTGTTGACTTCAGCTGATTCAAAAATCAGTTTTCCTTCGTTAATTCCATCAAAAGCAATTTTTCCAAGGCGAGTGAACTCGTCTTGCACAGAGGAAGACAGTTTCTTAAATGGGGCAAAAAAATTGTTTTCAGCGTTGTTCACTTCTTTAGAGAGGCCGTGACGAAAGTAAAAGTACTTGACAGCGATGGAGTATATTTCAGTTAGCGTTGTGGGAAGTAGGCCAGGGCTAACGGACTTACAAAGAAGTTGAAACAAGCAGGAACAAATGATGAAACAATTCACGGGAACGTAGCAAACGGCAAGAAAGTTTAAGTTATTGAGGATGTGCTGCTTTATAGTGTTTGCCTTTTGGCCATCGCCTTCTGTGAACTTTTGCACATAATCTTCCACCTGCTCAGTTGTAAATCCCAGAATTTCAACTGTTTTGTCGAAGTAAAGACTCTGTGTGATACATGACACGGCATTGGGTCTTGTAGTCGTTAAGACTGTCGTACCGGTAAGAATTTTTCCGGATACTATTTTCTTTAGCAGGAAATGGACAGGCATCCTGTCTTCTTTATTGTTTCTGTGCTGGACGTCATCTTTATTGATTTCAGTCTTCCTAGAATATTCATCAAATCCATCAAAAATAAGGAGTACTCGCTCTGGGTTGTTACAGACGTAGTTCCAGGCATCTTCAGATAGAGCTGTTGAATACTCTGAGTGATCCAGAAGCTCGCGAAGATTGAGTTCTTTTTCGGTAGAGTTAAACATCCTCAGCTTAATGAGAAAAGCGAAATCTATTTGTGATTTTTGTGTTTCGTTCAACAAATTATCGGACGCCCAGTCACGAAGAATTTTTGTGCTAAACATGGTTTTTCCAATTCCAGGACGACCCACAACAAGAATCTTCTGCTTTTCAACATCGAAAATATCTCCTGGTCGTGTTGGTTGCAATTCTTCATTGGCTTTGAGGTACTCTTTAAGTTGTTCCCCTCTGTCTCCAGAAAAGTCATACTTAACTCTCCCCTTATAGACAATCAAGTTGGTGAAGATTTCGTCAAGCTTTAGATCTCTTCCTTCGCCTGGATCATCAAAAGGTGATTTAAGATCTTTGTAAGGTCGTTCGGTAACTTCTCGGACATGTCTCTTCATTCGTTTAATGGAAGGAGCTACTAATGTTTCTTCATTTGCTTGAGTGCGGTTGAATGACGAATCAAGTGAAGCGTTGCTGGATGAAGCGGTTGATGGTTGTTTTTTGTTTGGATTGTCATTATTTTCTTGTTGCTGCGGTTCTGACGGGTGTTCGAGGCTCAAAGGAGCGGTAGATGGTGGTTTAGTGCGATTTTCATCATAGTGGGTGATTGACTTTTGCGGTTGCGGTCCTGCCAAAGAAACACTTATTAGTTAGATGACAAAATTGATATTTTATTGATACATTGATGACAAATAGAATGATATCATTTTCACCGATGTCAAGGATATGTATGTCAAATGTCAAAGTATCATTACCGTAAATCCTCTATTAAGCCCCCCCGGGTAGGCCTTTCTCGATTATGCTAGTAAATCTGGCATTTAATGCTACTAGAAATTCTCGCATAAAGCCAAAAAACAAAACGTACAAACTCTTACATTATATGCTCGTATCAACACAGGGCTCAAAATAACGGACAGTAGGTCGCCGGTCATGATGACCGGCCAAATATTTTTTGGCCGGACAAACCCGGATTTTGGCCGGTCAAATAATGAATACAATAATTTTTTTTTTGCTTTATATGCAATATCAAATTACGCTGGCAATAGATCGTTGTACTGCATTGACGTTCAGGTTTTTCGCGGCAAGTTGGTGAAATTCATTCACAAGTTGTTGAGTTCCTCTCCGGGGTTTTCCCCCATTTTCATGTCCATTTATATATACTTTGAATTTGAGTATTATCGTACTGCGGTGTCTCAAGTCTCCAAGTCCCATAGCTGCATATCGGTGAAAGTTGATCTTTTTCGTTGCCCGGCAGGTGATCGAAAGTCTCCTCCACTGAATATTTACGGCAAAGAAGTTGATTCTGGCGAGAAATCCATTCCACAAACAGTGTATTTATCATCAGAAATCAATAAATATACAGCAGAGCTTTCGTTTGGGTCGTACATCGAGCAACACTTTATCGCAAAGGGCTCATTATAAACATCTACAGAAATTTGCATAAAGCTGTTTACAAGAAGGAGGATTTTAAGCGCCTAGATAGGCGACGTTCCTTTTCGATTAATAGCTTAAATTTTTATCAGGCAATTTTGCAATCGAGTTCGCAAACGAGATTCATGTTCGACATAAAGAAATTATATATAATTACTCGATGCACTAAAATTTATTCCCGGAGAAACAGTACAGGACGTGGAGACGCCATAGTGGAGAATTGCGATCGATTAACCCGAATTCCGTCGAAGGTAGGTGATTTTCACAATCCTCTTACAAGTAGATGTGAAACGTTAGATTGACAAAAACTGTTAGCTATCCTTTAGTTTTGTAACATAAAACGTGTATGTTTTCCCAAAGAAGGTCACATGACTAATCAGAGCAAAGCAGAAAGTACAATACGACCCCGGGCGGGAGTACGACCTGCAACATCGTTGCGTTACTCCACAACTCTGTTTGTTGTTGTTTCGCTTTGTCGCGTTTCATTACATGACAACATGGAATTTAATGCGGCATTCGTTTTCTTTAAAAGTTTAGTGCAAAGCATGGAAAAAAGGCAAAGAAAAAAGAAATGATAACAGTGTTATAGAGCAAAACGCGTTAAAGCGTCAACTGTATGGAAAATATTTTAAAAGGTTCGCATCCAAAAATGACCGGTCAAAATGACCGGCAAGATGAGAGTTTGACCGGTCAAGTCCACGATCAGGCCGGACATTGTCCGTTGACCGGCCGTTATTTTGAGCCCTGCAACAACAGGTGATACTTAATAATTGTTTGTTTATAAAACTTGGGATCAGAATTAAAACTTTTCCAGCCAACAGCCACTAAACAGTCATATTTGAAGCACTACCATGCGCTAGGTACACAGAACTTAGACTAGCACAATTCTGTTCAACTTCTAACTCATATAAAACGTTTACGTTTCAGTATACTGTAAGCAGTTGCGAGCGCTTAACGCAGGATCTGTATACAAGCATTGCAAAACAGCTTTCCTTCTCTAACAATGTAGTTCTCATCAGGAAACTGTCGTACTCGCTCGTGTAACGGCACTTTCACAGTGTCGCTGTTTCCTCGTCGCTTGTATTTACCGGAGGTGGACTGTAGTGATCGATCTCTTGCTATAGATGGTGGAACTGGTCTTTCTTGCAAGTTCGTAGCCGACGCCATCTTGGCTGAGTAAGAGAAAGAGTTACCCGCTGACCACCCATTCCTTTTTTTCCGTGGGTGTTAGTAACGGAAACAGACAATCTACACACACAAGTAACAAGTATCCTTCTGAGTGCTGAAATCTGGATCACAGTCATGAAAAACGACAGAAAATGCCAGCAATTCTTTTTCAAGAAAAAACGAAAAAAAATGCTCGTTTTCCCAAAAAATGCCGAAAAAAATGCTAGCATAATCGAGAAAGGCCTACCCCCGGGTGGGCTTATTTATTACAACCTCATCTGATGGGGGGCGTATTTGAGAGGGGACAGGGGGGCTTAATTAATTTAAAAAGACGATGGTATCAGCTCTCCTTAAAGAACTAGAATACAAAGTGGAAAAGCTTAAGTACAAGAAGGTTGGAGGTCACGCAACCGAGGATCAGAATCAAATCCGCACTTGCAGTTGGTATAAAACCACCCCAGATCAGTCAACACGAAGTTTTACAGTCATCATTGATTAATACAGTCCATCATTTATTAGTGAAGAATAATATATTAGGGGAGGGGAGGGGGGCTTAATAACTCTCTTCTCCTGAAAAGGGGGAGGGGGGCTTAATAAAGGATTTCGGGTATAATGCGAGACTATCATGAAATCTAAATATTGCAAATTCTCTCAAAATGTACCGGTCCCTAATAAGATGCACACTTCTAATGCTTCTTGATATTTAATTACAGAAACATATCGCATTCACTAAGCTACTTGAATGAATCACACAAGTGGTAGAAATTTTGTGACAACTCCTACAACTCATACGAGTTGCATCGCATTTAATCTCAAATTAAACAACTTGAAGAAGTGGTGAGTATTGGACAGCTGAATTTGGGATGGTATGCACCCCAGAGCATGTACCATGTAGCTTATCTGTGACCGTAATATGAAAGGAACCCAACAATGGATTCAATAAATCAAATGCCAAGATGTAGCAGCACTTTATGAGAGCATGATTACCTTGATAATGAGGCCATGAATAGAAAACACAAGGATCACTCAAAATGTATGCAACAAGAGATGCTGCCATCACACTAGCACAGGAAGACCAACTCTCCGAAGCTAACTGAGAACCATCTGCATAGTCAGCTATTCCTTTCACAATTAACCACTCAATTCCACAATCAAATGCTGCTGTAAATACTCCTGTTAAACAACAAAGCAAACATTACATGAGTTTAGGGAAACGTCCTGTTTCACCAAAGTGCCTTCATCAGCAAAATAAGAAACTTGTCCAGACATTGGGAGGGGTTGGTCGGAAGCCATTTTTGCATAAGGTCTATTATAGTGTAATTTAAATTCATCTTTAAAGATGAGTGTGGGGTGAGATGCCTGCGATGCTTGTGGAGCCAGGAAACTGTGGGCCAAGTGACGCTCATGACCATGACAACCCTGGGTGCTTTCCATTCAACAAAAATTCCAGTTTTAAATTTCGGAAATTTCGCGTGCTCCATGGAACGGTACATTCTGGTTGCACAGACCCGATCCAGGCCACCATACGTTTGGTTATTATTCTTGTGAGCAGGATACAAAAGAGCGGTACTGGGGATAACAATTTTGTCAAACGGAAAGGGACATTTAGGTCTGACTGACTGAAATGACCAGACTGGTCAAAGCGGACCACCCTCAAAGCTGGTCCCAAATATTCCGGTTGGACCAAACCAAAATGGTCCGTTCCATTTGATGTACCAACCAAAATTTCTGGAATTTTGGGTTGAATGTAAAGCGCCCCCTGTGAGTGGCATCCACCCAGGCACCATCTCACAGCAAACCAGTGGAGCCTACTTACTGGATACAGTGGAACCCCACCTCATGGCCACCTTGGTAATAAAGTCACCTTGTTATTACGGACAGTTTTTTCTAGCCTGGCAAAAAAGCCATACATTTTCTAATGAAAAACGTTTGTTAATACAGTCACCCATAAATGTGGCCAATGGCCACATTTTAAAATCCCAAGCAGTAGCATCTTTTACAACTTCACCCCATTAATAGGGCCACGCGTCAAAAATTTCAAAAATTAGAATGCCTGTGACATGTCAATTTCATTGACCTAGTAAACTGAGCTTGTTTTTCTACTGTCTTTAGACTATAGTCACTTACAATGCATTTGTGGTGCTATAGTAGCCGATTTTTAACAGTGTTTTCTGTACTGACGGAGTTTCAAGTAGATTTAACAATTATTATGGTATGTGATATCTACATTCCTTTTATTTATTAAATAGAACACAGTAGTACAAGAAGTGCAAAAGCAATGTATGATGTTTGTCATTACAGTCCTTAAGTCATGAAGTTTGACCGTGCCCTTGTAATACAGCCACCCTGTTGATACGGCCAGATTGTTTTGACCCCTTGGTGACAGTATTGAGAGGATTCCACTGCACTTACCAAAAGGAAGGCAGGGTAAGGAGCAAACCATTTGACAAGTACAAGCAACGTTAATAAGCTACATGAATGTAATTGTATGACCTCAACAGAAAAGCTTTCCCTGCACTGCCATTTGAGCACCCCTCCTTTATCTTATTTGAAAAACCGACTTAACTGGTCAGCAATGTCCAGAGTTTAACTTAGCCTAAATTTCATTTAGCCACATAATGTTTTAGGCATTATGACAATTATTGCTCTGGTAAAAACAAGAGGATTTCCCAATAAAACTGACAGACATGATTTTAAGTGCCAAACTCATGACCTTTTGATGCTTTAAAGGAAACAATTTTTTTCTTTCCAGTACAAGTATAATGCATGCTGTTATGTCTCTTTTCACCTCAAGCAAAACTTAACCTGGCTGTGTGCACCTGCTTGTAAAGACTGGCTGCAAAAAATCAGTCATCCTACCTTCTCCTTCATTTTCCATTGCTATTGCCTGAGGATTGGTTTCAGCAAGTTGATCACGCCGCTGCCCAGAAATGACTTGTTCTGGTCCAGTCAGAACCTCAGCAGAAGTATAAACTTTAACTTGTTCAGCATCAGCCAGGTTCTTCAATGGTGCTTGCCAGCCATCAGCACAATTCTTAATGACATTCAGGAAGCGTTTGCTCACATAACTCCTCATGCCAGTCGACTGTTCTTGATTATTGATCACCACTTTGGATGCATATGTTGTTAATTTGGCAGAAATAACAACATCTCCCAACTTGCATTTCTCAGGATGAAGACCACTACATGCACCAACAGATATAACTGCTTTAGGTCTTAGCACAGTGGCAGCATTCTTTACAGAGATGAGAGAACCACCAGGACCAGTTTTGTCACATCTTAACAATGCAACTTTAACTTCCTCTTGACTTTCACTCACATCAGAAAAGTACACATAACCAAGATCGTCAAAATAACATCGATAGGGGTTTCTTAGCTCACTGTAACAAGCTAAAAACTCACAATTCTTCACTGTCAGTAACAAAACATCAACAGGAAGATCAGCATGTTTTCTATTTTTTGCCTTAATGTCAGGCAAGGATGGGAGAATTTTATTAAGCTCTGGAGGGTCCCTAAAGTACTCTTTTGGAGTCCTGTCCTTTCTTTTCTTTTTTCTCTTTTTTTTCGATGTGGTTTTTTGGTTCTTTGTGTTGCTTGCAGTATTCTTTGAACTAGACAGGAGAGCACTGGTAAACCGGGAAGTGTTACCATCACTTCCCTCTGATCTCCTAGTTGTATCCTCTGAAGATTTTAATGTCTTGGATTCTGATCAGTGGAGGAAAAAACAATTAAAAATGAGTTAATAATAATATTGTTATAAGAATGTGTCGTGCTAGTGGTTCAGCTAACAAAGGCCCATGTTGAAAGGCAGTTACAAGTAAACCACCCACCAGCCTTGCATGTATTAACCAAACAAAAGAGCATCGCACCGGTATCGCGAGGTCACGGGTTTAAACCCCATTGAAGTCCTGAATTTTTTTCAGGCTTCTTTATGCAATTGCATAAATTGCATTCACTGCGACGATCATTTCTTGATTTTCATTTCATTTCCGCAGTTCATATATGATTTATTTCATATATCATTAACACTCATTTCTTTCACAGGAACATATGAACCCACAATTGACCTACTCCCAACGTCAGTGGCTTCATAGTTCAGTTGGTAGAGCATCGCACCGGTATCGCGAAGTCACGGGTTCAAACCCCGTTGAAGTCCTGAATTTTTTTTCAGGCTTCTTTAAGCAATTTCAAAAATTGCGTTCACTGCGACAATCATTTATTCATTTCCAAAAGTTTCCCCCCCTCCCAGGGTCTTTGAAGTTCTAACACAACCTCCCCCCCCACAACCCCCAAAAAGAAGGTACCCTTAAAGTTGATCTTCTTTTTCAGCCTTATTACTCACTGTACAGAGATCACATTTCAACTCTCAACTATAAGTGAACCTATTTTCTCATAACAAAAATTACCTTCTTTGTCTGAGTCTTCAATGACATCCCTCTTCCTCTTTGTTGCTTGCATGACAGTAAGTTGAAATGGCTTCACACAAACTGGAAGCAAAGCAACTATGATTAGTAGCACATTTGTCACAACCACAAGAAAAATAGTTAGCCAATGGCTATAAGTGTACTGACTGGGTAATTTGAAGTTGTATATGGTACAGGTCAAAATTCAATTTGGCTTAAAATTTTTAAACCTAGGGTTGAGTTTTAATTTCCTGTGTCTCCTAACCCTAATTCATGAATTATTCGGGCTAGGAGACAAAGGGAATAGAGAATTAACCCATTCGCCCTGTAACCGCCTGTAACTGCCCGTGTGAATCCAAGTCCTTTCTACCCTTTGTGACGTCATCTGTTTTAACGGTCAAAGACAACTTTGTCCGCTAACTTGTGCAGAGTGAAGAGATCTTTCAAACCATACCCGAGTGAGCACAATTCAGTCAAGGACACCAGAGAAAGAGGCAAAAAACCATGTGACGTTGAGCTGAAAATCTCCATGAAAATCTTGTTTCATTGCTCACCTACCTTTCCTTTCACCTTATCCTAAGATCCGAAAAGCTTTCCTAAAAACTCTTCCCACCAAACAAAGCCTACTAAATGCCCAGCAAGAGATAAAAAAAAGAGGCAAGAAAAGCGAAAAAAGAGGGGAGGAGAGAAAGCGAAAAGTAAAAGTCAAGACTGTTGTGTCACTTTTAAACCCAAATCTATCTCGAAATTTTGCTTTCTGCGCATGCCCGAACTTTGCAAGCTGATATTTTGCATCTGGATCAGAAGGCCGCAAAGTGTAGGACCTGTAAACCGGTTTGTGGTAAGTTTTAGCTCTTTATAGCACGACAGTGACCAGAAAACCACTCGACTAGCTTCAAAACGTGTTTTTCGGCAAAATCTCCAGGAGCGAATGGGTTAACCTAGGTTAAAAAATTTCAACCTGAATTTAATTTTGACCTGTAACATATACACTGGTACCACAATGACCATACACGTAATGATAATGTCATACAGAAATTTATCCTAAATTGAATCTAACAAAAAACTAACGTAATGTTCTTTTCATAAGAACCTCTTTAGCCTAAAATTTTCTATAGGATGTTATTTTACAAAAATGAGGGTACAGATGAAAATACAGAAAAATAAATTTTAGTCTTGGTTTCAGTCAGTAAGATTCAAAGAATGAACTTAAATGAAAACCATATCATGTCTTTTCATCTAAACTGTATTCTAGATAATTATTTAATACAGCAATATATTCCACATCACAAATCTAGGTATTATATGCGGGTTTTTACTGTATGGTCTGTTCTCAAATAGCACCCTGACACGGTCCTAACCCAAAGCAGATAAAAACGTGAACAGTTTGGGAAAATTTGGGAAAAATGGACATTGATTGCTTGACCTTTATCTTATTTTGCTAGACAAGCTTTTCTTGGGGGATAATGAAGTATCAGTCAAACTTGTAGAGGATTTACACAAAAAAATTCAATTTCTTCTGCATTTCTGAGGGATTACTGACAAAATTGAAGTTTCTTATATATAAGAGGGACATGAAATATGATACATGGGATAATATGTGTGATTTTCCTATGAAGGAACTGAATGTTTTGATCGGACATTATGTGACAGATAGACATTTCACAGATTTTCTCAGATTTGTGGATTTAATCAGGGGTGGAATGGTGAGAACAACAGCGCCCTTGTAGGCGCTTCCTTCCTTACCCCCTCAAACATCCTTCATGCACTCGTGCTCCTTAGTTCAAAAGACCTTTCCACGTTTTTTTTTTTCAACTTTTGACGCGAATAAGTTAGAAAAAATCCATTAATGACACTGGAAAGAGCGCCTTAAAATAATTAGAAAAAAACCCTTGTTTGAAAGTGATTTGTGGAATACTAACTAAGATATAGCCTCTCAAAGTTGTGAAATTTTACAGACGTTTGTATGGTGGGGGGCACAAACTTGCTCCCAACATACAGTGAAACCCGGTTAATACAGACACCGAGGGGACATGCCATAGTGTCTGTATTATCCAGGTGTCTGAATTAAGAGGTCTCTCTGAAAAAACATCACTGACTCATCTTTTATCGATCTAAAGACTAAAGCAGACATTTTTTCAGGAAAACGCTGTTTAATTTCTTATCTGTAACTTTAACATTTTCACGATCATTTATCATAGTCTCACACTAAATCTATCTTTCAAGCAGTTTTCTTGAAATATGACAATGGAATCCATGTCTTTACTTTGTACTGACGCTTTTAGTTTGCCAACTCAGCCAGGTGGACTGAACTTTAGACAGGATGCTTGAAAGGTTTTTCACTGTTTCTGCTAGGTTTTCACTGGTAAGATAGTCAGTCATAAATTTAGATAGTGCACATAGTGTGCAGATAACTAGTGTCCAAAAAAGCGAGATTGATGATATATGAGAATATGTGACTTGGAACATACAACAATGTCCGCTGTCTGTATCAACTGGTGTCCATATTAAGCGGGTTTATTTTACAGAAAATATATGACCATTTCATTGGGACAAACATAACTGTCCGTTATATATGATGTCCGTATTAAGCGGGTGTCCATAGAGCAGGGTTCCACTGTACAAACGTCTGTAAATTTTCGCAACTTTGCTGAGGTACAGTGGAACCCTGCCATAACAAAGATCTCGTTATAATGAAAAACATCTGAGAACCTGACAGAATTACACTAAAATAAGTGGAAACCAACCCTGCTATAACGAAATCCCCACCACAACGGATAGATTTTGACGGTCACAACGCACAATTTACCCTACTGTAACGAATATTTTGTCTGGCCACTCACAGAAGTCAGTAAAAACGACAGATTTGTATACTTTAAGTAATAGCATGATTTGTAGTGATATTTGGCATAAATACCACAAGTGATATTTTGAAATTGTTATACGTAATTTCAGAAGCCTTTATGTGAGTGGAATTTAAGAGAATTTTGAAATATCATGAGTGGTATTTATGCCAAATATCACATACAAATCACGCTATTATTGTTTATACTACTACTTGCAAAAGGCTTGTAATTTTCACATGTACAGCTGTAGGTATTTCAAATTAAGCTGAAATACCACTGCTCTAAGCCAATCAAATTGCAGAAATTTCTCACGCAATACAGTGGAACCTGTATATAACAGCCCTGTATTAACCGGCCATCAGTTTTCAAAGTCCCAATTTTTCGCTCATACAAATGCTGTATTTGTTACCTGTATAAGGCGGCCACCTCTATTAAGCGGCTGCGGCCACCCTGTATCAGTCCCATGTTGGTCTTTCTTTGTTATTTTTACCTGTTAGTGTATTAAGCAGCCACCCCTGAATGGAAACTAAGCCATATGTCATTTTATGCAATATTTTATTGTGTTTAAAATGTGGTCCATCATCACTATAAAGAAATAACATGAGCTACTGTAAGCTGATACTTGGCCGTTTAGTATCGTTAACGCTTTTCAGATGTCATCAGATTTATTGCACAGTGCTTTTACACAATGTTATGTATATTATACTGCCGTTAAGTTACAACTTGGCACTGAACTTTGTTTAAAGTATTGATTGCTTGGAAGAGTGTTGATTAGCCTATTTTTTCCTTGCATGAAGTGTGTTTGTATGATAAATTGATATTAGACCACGCCCAGTGAGTATTTTTCGTGATCCTCTATTAAGCAGCCTAGCCTGGGACCAGGCTCCGCCGTGGGAGAAAAGGCACAGGTTCAAATAGGAAAAATATTGGTGGGCGAAGCGAGCCGAACGGTGGCCTGGGGAGGGGGAAAGGGCAGTGGAGCCTGGAGACATGCCTTTAATGCTGCCGTTCCATGATACCAGATTCTGGTATCATGCTCTGATTGGTCAAGTGTCTTCATGTTGACAGATTCGCGGTGCTCTTGACAGTATCACGCTCCTACAATTCGAGAAAAGATTTGTTAAAACACAGACTTCCAGCAAGCAATACAAATTTGTTTGCAAGACTTTTGGTTTATCCCTCGACTCCAAGAAGAGCAAAAAATATGCCTGTGATCTGTTGCAAAAAGAAAAAGAAGTATTCAAAGTATGGAGCTTTTCTTATACTCTCCTGTGATAAACTACAGTCACAATTACAAAGCAATGGACTTATAAGCCGACCTTCAAAAGGCACAGCGTTATAATCATGCTCCTACTTAAAGCGTGATAAAACTAAAAAATCAGTGGATATATGCAAAGAATGCATGTTGCGTACAGCTAAGCCTTGTGCTCTGAGAACGCATAAACCACAACTATACGGAGATACCCTGTGGGCAGTTGTTTCTCTCTTGCATGGCTTTTAGCGTTTATGAAGTAGTTTGCATTACTTGTCAGTCACATAGTTAACAAACTAAATTACACAACTGACAAGCGACACGAACAACTTCGTAAACGCTATAAGCCATGCATGCAAGAGAGAAAACGCTGCTTGCAGGCTAGAACAAAGATAAAATTACAGTGGTTGAGGAAAATCTGGGAAAATGATCATTACTGACTTTTACACGATTTTGAGCTGACATACCACATAAAACGGACAACAAATTCAACAGGAATACACTCAACCTGAATAGTCTGTCGCATAAGGTGCTAAACTTACACATTTTTCCTCCACAGAATATAAACTCTGCCAATAGCAATATTTTGTCTGGTACATTACAAGAAGCTATGACAACGAGCATAATGTGAACTGCGAACTTGAGCGATCTCCTTGAAAATCTATTCGGCTGTTCTTCACCAGTTGCATGCGGCACATTTTCCTCTTAAACATCTTTCTTTCTCTTTGCCGAGTCGGCAGTCGAAGTTAAGTAGATCTCTTTGCTTGCACTCTTACTTCATCTCAAATTCAACTAGTTTTTTACAAAAGCGACATAATAAGCTCATGCTGACATCCATGATGACAACTTGATGTGTTGACATTTCAATGACAAGTTAATTGCTGGAGGGCGGATCCGCGGCATCAAAGGCATGTCTCCAGGTTCCACCACTTTTTCCCCTCCCCAGACTACCTCTCCGCTCGCTTACTGATTTTTGTTTTTTTTCACCCACACCGATTCTTTTCTCCTTTTTCCCGCGACGAGGAGTCTTGTCCTAGGCTATAAGCAGCCACCTGTTGTATACAGGTTCGACTGTACTTTAAACCAGATAATTCGTTATAATGGGGTCTTCGCTATAACGAAGTCCCCGCTATAATGAACAGTTTTTTCGATACCGTGGCACTTCATTATAGCTGGGTTCCACTGTATATCTTCGCTCGCTTAAGACGTATCACTTTCAAATTTGGCAAATTTCACTAATTCAAGTCGTTCTTTTCAGTGGTGTGGACGGATTTTCCCTAACTGGTCCATGTTAAAAACCGTGGAAGGGTCAGTCTATTCTGATCTCCCTCTCCCTTTAAGCTTATCGCGATGTTTGTCAACTCTTGCACGGCTAACCAATACCAAAGTGCAACAGAGGTGTAACTGATTATCCAATCAAGGAGTCACATTATTTCCCTCTTTTGACCACTAAAAGATCGTTGTTTTATAAACCACCACTTGTTGGAACGCTTTATGAACGAGGCATAACACAAAAGGCACTTTTGTTATTCAAAGAAGTGATGCAATAAGTGCAGAAGTATTCTAAAGTTTAGCCTTAGCACTAAGGGAACCTGATAAAACTCTTCAACTTGCATACAGTAAAAGACACAGTATACTAACATTTAACTTAAAACAAAAAAGAATTAACTTCGGTTCTTACCTTGACAAGCATTGCAATGCAATGCGGAAAATCTACTTTACAGAGAATAGAACAACAGCAAGAACACACGAGATGGAGCTTGATAAAGTTGTATGATGGGACGCTTACAGAGAAAATCAACTCAGCCGATATTTTCAGGTTTGTCCCAAACCACAACAAGTCGAATGTTCACCGCTGAAAGGGACCAAGACAGCGAAGACGCCGAAAATTCAACACCAACAGCGCTTGGGAGTGCTTCGTCTGTCGATGCGTCTTTTCTCAATCTTCGCATTCATTGGTTCAAAAGTGTCCCATGACTTACGTCAAGTAAGCCGAAAAATTTGGAATTGGATCTGGAATTCTAGGTTAGTTGAATAGACGTTCGTTTTCGTTTCATGTAATCTCGATGAACGTCATAAGTAAAAGAAATAATTAACTTTAGTACAGGAAATGAATCTGTTTGTGCATCTGTTTGTGTATTGTGCCCATAAATTTGTAGTGGTCTGTGATGTCACTTTGAGTCTGACAGATTCTAACACCAAGGTGATTCCAAGCCGTGAATTGCAAAGCACCAACAACAAGATACTTTTGTTAACAATTAAACATTACATTGAAGAGATAAAACAGTGTATAGATGATATTTAACGACAAAAGCACTTGCCTGTGCTTGGCTTTTGTTTTTGCTTCCCGCCTGTTCTTGTAAGGCTTTGGATACCCGGGTGAGAACCGGGGGGGTGGAATTACATCTTTTGCTGTTCATAAAGAGAAAATACGCATTCATTTGCGTGAAACGGCGACTAATGGTGCGACGATATATTCATTAGCGCGAAGAAACGAACATTTGCGCATAAATCAGATTCAATAACGATTTTTGTATTTTAATCAACATTCAATACCATTTCGCTCTCCATTTCGCAGCACTCTCCGCTATCTGAACGCCTGGAGAAGGAAAACAGCTGGCCGGAGACAACATTCGAAACGCAAAATAAAACTTCCCAATTGCTTGACTGGAATGTGGCTTCCACTTTTCTATGTGAATTATTGTGGCGGAGAACTTTACCCAAGAAACATTGATCTTTTTTTCTTTTTTTGGCAGTAGCTGTACTCACAGACGTGGAAAACAAGGACGATAGCAGTGACATGCTCGAAAACCACGAATCATTCATCACGTTAACCATATCACTGAGCAATTTGAACAACTGCGCAAAATAGAGAGGAATTGCCCGACGCTTTTCTAAGCTGGATATCAATAAGAACGCGCACTAAACAACAATTTGTGTCTAGAAGAACTAGACACAAAGCAACATGAACAAAACAGAAACGTGAATATCTCAACCATAACAGGAGCATCCATGGGAACCATAGCAGGGATCCTTTCAGCTGCGGGCCTCATTGCTGCACCCTTTACATTTGGGGCAGGAATCGTAGTGTCCCTTGTTGGGGCAGGAATAGGTGGCGCCGGAGGACTGGTTATGTCTGGTTCCAAAGTCGTTGAGATAATCTTGGAAAAATTAGGACTCAAAGAAGTGCAAGCGGCAATTGAGGACGATCGTGAAGCTTGTAGTGGGCTCCAGAAACAGTTAGACTCCTTGGAAAACTTCATCTCTAGCTTAGCAGAGCTCCTTAAACCGCTGCATGATAAGGCGGTTTTGCTCAGAGAATTAGAAGGAAGCTGGAAGGAAGTGGATTTGAATTTCTTAGTCAGCGGATATCCTATGAAGAGATCGGCGCGTCCACCGAAGAGAGAGTAGAATTCGGTGCCAGGTTCTTCAGAGCTGCCACTTACGCAGCCACAATATCTGCATCAGCGGCCGCTACTGCAGGCGCTGTAGCCAGAAGTGCGGCTATTGCGGGGACACGCGCGGCACACGTTGCTGGTTCTGTAATCAGCGCCGCTCTGTTGCCGCTGGATATCACGTTACTCGTCAAATCATCTTTGGAGCTGCATCGTGGATCCACATCTGCTGCTGTATAAGATATATATCCGGCGGATTCTTGACGAACTTGAATGCCCAGATAAAGGGGAGATCCAAGGTTTGGTGGAGAGCTTCATTGATGAGAAATTTACCGAGGCGTATAATAAGATGGACGATGATAAGGAACAGGAGCAGAATCGAGACAGTGATGATAGTAACGAGCAGGATAAACAAAATGATGACGTAGATAAACGACATGGAACAGAAAAAGAAATATTACTTCCAAATGATAGTTAACACAAAAACAAAAAGGTTTTGAAAATGATAGAGACATTGCTGCAGACGACACTGTTACAAGAAGTAATGAATGTATGTCAAATTTTCCCCTTCTAGGATGTAACGTTTTGACTCACGCAAAGCAAAAAGTCATACATGTTGTAGTAAATGTAGTAACTGTATCGTGTGAGCGGATGAGGGAGACTACTCTTTAACCCCTTAAGCCCTAACATCAAAATTCAAATTCTCATTTGTTATCCCTATACGTTTTCAATAGAAGTAGTGGGGAGAATTTGTTGCAGTATCAATTGGATTCATCTTGTGTGATCATGTCCTTAATTCTCATGACCACTCTGTTTTATAAAGCAGTGATATTACAAGGAGAAATTTGACGCTGATCACTCTTAGGGCTTGAAGAGCTTCTATGGTGTTTATGTCTTCCCCCAAAACTGGAGGATCGTTGCGTGACGACAAAGAGAACTGATGAATACTGAGACTGGGTCACGAAACCGCGGAAAGAACGGATTATTTTGTCTTAAACATGTTCAGGAATTAAAGGACTCAGCGGCACATTCGCACCCAAACTTTCCTCAAGTGCGCCTCCACCCCCGCCCCAGGATAAAAACATGTTTTTTTTTTGTTTTTTTTTTTTACAGTACCCTGGTGCTAGTTTCGCTTCACCGGGGATCTTGGATTTCCGCTTAACTGTTACTTCTTATGTTAGCAGGTGTTTTAGCTGGCACCCATTAAGTCAATAACAAAAGCGGTGGCCGCAGTTAACAGTTTTTGAAAGGTGAGTTGGTGAAATCTTGCCTTCTGACTCCGGTAAGGCCGCTGATTTCAAACTATTCAGGGCAGGATATTTTGTTACTTGATCAGCAAAAAGGGTTTTTAAACTCAACTAATGGGGAGACCCTTCCTTTATTCAGTTATTGGCCAAAACCGAAGCTCTGCACTTTATTTTGGGCATGTAACAACCGCTCCACCTTGAAACTACCTCAAGCAGGTCTGGATCCGTTACGGTTTATGTACAAAGTTTTACATCTGAGCCGAAGATAAAGTATCTGTGCGGTAAAAGGGGGTGTATACACCATTCCCCCACCCCCCTCCCCGCGCTATCCCCTTGCTAGACGGACCCATCTCTGCTTTTTCTGTCCCAAAAGCAGTTTGCCCCGCATTTTGCTGTATGCAAAGATTGGTTTACTGAGAAGGGAGACCAGGCCGACATCTATAATACTGGTCTAACAGAACTTTAATTATATCAAAAACTAAACTTATATACAAGGATGACTACTTAGAAAAAGCCATAACTGCAAATAGAATTCTAAGGTGACGCTTACTGTAAATAAGAGAAACCATGATTATCACATTTAACTAATAACATTCCTAAAGGAAAACTTCTTCATATGTAGCTGAATGTTTAGTTATCTAAGTTGAATATATATAAATGTCCATCAATTTGTTCCAGTCTTCTTTATGAGTCATTAATACACATTTTTTTTTTAAATCACACCCTGTTCCTATGTAAAGCTATAGCAATGACCAAACTAATTTTCTCTTCTCACAAAAACCCACACTATTTTTAAGAAAAAACAAAACAAAACAAAACAATATATAAACGGAAACCTAAGAACTTCGAGATTGCTTAGAAGTTACCTGATCGCCGAACTCAAAAAACTTAACTTCCTTTTAAAAAATGGAAAATATAATGTCAAAGAATGCAGCTCAAATTATTGCTGTTCAGAAAAATATATTTACACATGCTTAGATAAATACTTTATAGTTTATTTTCCCTGCTTTTGAGAGATTTTTCCCTTGCTGGGTTATTTTGTTAGCTCTAAGGTCTAAGCTTTGTTTCTTTTGCAGTTAGTATGTGTGAGTGCAGTGCTGCTAGTGAAGCGTTTTATACATCCATCAGTTATCTTATTGAGCTTTAAGTTTAGAAAAAGCAATATTGATTAAGCTTTAAGTTGTTTAGTTTGTAGTTAGTGTGGTGTTAATCAGTTATCTGATTAAAAGCGAGGTTTAATCTTTTTAGTTCGCAAAAACCCTGATTGTGTTGGTTGCCAGGTAACAACTTCGCAATCTCAATACATCCGAGCGACTGAAGGTTGTTGAAGCTTAAATCAAAATCCAAAATTCCTTCAACAGGGAAACATTTACCTTTTAGAAAAGTTAGAAAGATACTCTACAGCTTATGTTCATTGACTTTACGAGATTTTTACCTATATCAGTTATGTTGTTATACACGAGGTTTAAGCTGTTTAGTGTGCAGTTAGTGTTTGTGAGTACTGTGGATAAATGTTTTACTCCTTCATCAGTTATGTTGTTACGCTTGAGGTTTAAGGTGTTTAGTGTGCAGTTAGTGTGTGTGAGTGCTGTGGATAAATGTTTAACCCCTTCATCAGTTATGTTGTTTTCCCAGAGGTTTAAGCTGTTTAGTGTGCAGTTAGTCTGTGTGAGTGCTGTGGATAAATGTTTTACTCCCTCATCAGTTATGTTGTTAGCCCCGAGGTTTAAGCTGTTTAGTGTGCAGTTAGTCTGTGTGAGTGCTGTGGATAAATGTTTTACTCCTTCATCAGTTATCTTGTTATTCCCGAGGTCTAATCTTTCTAGTTCGCAAAAACCCTGATTGTGTTGGTTGCCAGGTAACAACTTCGCAATCTCAATACATCCTAGCGACTGAAGGTTGTTGAAGCTTAAATGAAAAGCCAAAATTCCTTCAACAGATTTAAGTGCATGCACTAATGCTAAACAGTCGAGAGGTGACAGGTTACACAACCTCAAATCAAGCACATCACAACCAATTTCCGCCAGTTTCTTTTGAACTTCTCGATCAGAGGCTTTGTTCTCATACATGCAATTGAATAGCGTCACCACTAATAACCTGTCTTTCTTGTCAGCTGGCCAACTGGTCCGTGTTTCAGTTCGTTCCTCTGAATCTTCATTCATCTTGATTTTAACTTCTTCAGTAAAAGTTTTTGAGGGAAGAAGGTCGCTGAAAATATCTGTTGATTGTCCTTCTTTTTCAGCCAGCAGTCCAGCCACAAACTGCATCACAACCTTCCACGCGCCATCCTGGATGTGTTTGGAAACGAATTTTCTCAGTTTTCTATGACTCAACGTGTCCACCAAATACTTCGCCGCCAAGAACTCCTGTATCGTCAGGTGTAAAAAACAATATTGTGCTCGTCCTTCCGTTAAACCGCTAAAACTATCAGGTAAACGGTGGAACAAACCATTGTTTTCCTGGCCATGGACTTCGCCTGATTCGAAAATGAGTCTTCCTTCTTTGATTCCTTGAAAAGCAATTTCTCCCAGTCTCTTAAACAATTTTTGCACATGTTCAGGTAATGCATTAAATGGCTTTAAATAAAACTGTTGAGCTTCATGTAATGGGTAACGGCTTTGGATATCATCGTGACAAAAGTAAAAAATCTTGATGGCTATGGAGTATAGTTCGGTTAGTCTTGTAGGAAGGCAGCCGGAGACGGGTGAGTTCAGCAAGTGCAACAAGCACGAACAAATGATGAAGCAATTCACAGGAATGTAGCAGAAGGATTGGAGGTTAAGGCTACTTCTGATGTGTTGCTTTATTGTTTCTCCCTTGCCATCATCGCCTTTCTCTTTTGTGAATTTGTCCACATACTCTTCCACTTTATCAGAGTTGAATCCCAGAATTTCAACTATTCTTTCAAAGGCAATAGGTGCTTCAAAGAATGACACGGCGGTTGGTCTTGTGCTCGTTAAGACTGTAGCAACGGGAAGGATTTTCCCCGATAATAATTTCTTGTACAGGAAATAAACTGGCATCGAGTCTTCTACATGGTTACTGATCGATAAGTCATCGTCATTGATTCTAACCTTTCCAGAATATTCGTCAAATCCATCAAAAATAAGGAGCAGTTTGTCTGGGCTTTCAATAATGTAGTGCCAAACGTCATCAGATATTGGTAGTTTAGAATACTCCGATGCATCCAGGAGTTGGCGAAGATTAATTTCGTCATTTGTGCGTTTAAACTTCCTCAACTTAACGAGGAAAGCGAGTTTGAAATCAAATCGAGATTTTTGTGCCTCTGTGAGCAACTTATCGGAAGCCCAATTGCGAAGAATCTTTGAGCAAAACATGGTTTTTCCAATTCCAGGACGGCCAACAACAAGAATGTTCCGCGGTTTTCGTTTAGCATCAAAAATATCTCCCGGCAGTGTTGGTCGAGATTTCTCTCTGGGTCTGTAGTATTCTTTCAGTTGTTTCTCTCTATCTCCACTAAATTCATGCAGAGCTCTGTTTTCGTGAATAATTAAATCGGTGTAGATGTGGTCAAGCGTTAGGTATCTTTTTGAGCCTTCACCCGGTTTACGGTGGAAAGGCGTAGCCTGATCTACGTAGGGTTGTTCAGTGACTCCTCGGATATGTTTCTTCATACTTTCGATGAAAGTGACGACTGGTGTTTGTTCATTTGTCTCAGTGCAGTTGAATGACGGTTGTTCGTTGTTAGATGGAGCGCTTGACTGCTGTTCGCTTGGAGTGTCATTACGGTGGATGATTAACTCCTGTTGTTGGGTTTCTGGAAAAACACTTGAATTAGATTTCAGATAAGAGTTGTGAAATTGCAGGTCCTCCATGAACCTTTGTCCTTTTGTTACCCATAGAAACACGATATACAGAACCTCGATAAACACAAGAAACATCAAAACTCCATTTACCACGA